TATTTATTTTTATGCTGTTTTAATCCAAGTGGTTTACAGCAAAAACATCATCAACAATATATAGATTGGCATCCATTATTGATGGGTTAGTAACATATGGTATTTATACAATGTTATTTCTTGAATATAAATGCCATATGATACTAATCCATCAATAATTGAATCCCATATTAATAGAAGAACAATAATAATTTATTAAATTTATATGCCACCTGATTCCCAGCAACTCTGAGCAGTTTACAAATTATTAAAAGCCAGGTAACAATACAAGATACATAAAACAAAGGAAGAAAGATGGCAGAGAAAAGAAACCTGGATGGGGACAAGGGAAAGGAAGAAAAGAAGCATCAACTGTCCTTACCAAAGGCCTGGGTGAATAGCCACGTCTTCAGGGCCCTTTGAAATACTAAGTAGGGTAGGGGCTGTTCAAATCTTGGGAGGAACCTCATTCCAGAAAGCAAGCACTGTGACAGAAAGGCACACTTCCAGGGTCCCGAAAGTTGGCATTATTTAATCCATGGAACCTAGAGCGTGCCAACCCTGCCAGATCTAACCGGCCAGGCAGATGCTATGGGAGTCAGGTGGTCCTTCGAGTAACCAGACCCTATCCCATGCCATTGTCCACCTCATATGCATCCATTCCTCCCTTCATAGTCCCAAATCTCTTTGGCAGAGCCAGGTTTTCAATAACTTTCTAAATACTAGGAGTGAAGGTGCAGATTTTATATCCAGGGATACAATGCTCTACAACAGGGGAACCCTTGCAGAAAATGCTTGTTTCAAGTGCCCTCCAGCCATACCTTGCATGGTTGGGAATTCTCGGCAGACATGCCATGGGTGAGCAGATTCTACCTGGAGCAAGCGGTCTTGCAGTTAACCAGGCCCCAAGCCACAAAGGACTTTAAAGGTGACAACCAGCACCTACAATTGCACTCAGAAACAAAGAGCCCATGCAGCTCTGATAGTTCTATATCTATATAAGGTAGTTCTATTTAGCACATAGTCAGCCATATTCTGCAGCAACTGTAGTTTTCAGATGGTCTTCAAGGGCAATCCCATTTAAGAAACATTACAGTAATCCAGCTCTAAGGTGATGAGGGCATGAGTATCAGTTGCCGGAAATTCCTGCTGCAAGAATGGTGAGAAGTGGTGCATCAGGTACAGTTGGACAATAGCCCTTATGCAGACAGCTTCTACTTGCTGATCCAGCAAGAGCTACAGTCCAGGGGAACCACCAAGTTGCACCCTGGTTCTTTGTGGGGGAGCATAACCCCATCAAGAGCTAAAGTTGATATTATTCTGAAGTCAGTCAGCTTCTGAGACAGCAACCCTTTTGTCTTTCTGTAGCTCAGTCTCAGCCTGTTTTTCACCACATGGTTATGCCCTCCAGGTTATGACTTCTACCTCATCTCTTCTGGCATCTCCCAATGCTCTACAGAAAAATTGGGATTGGCTACTCAGGAGCAATCCTATCCATGACCTTTGCTGCCTCCATATTCCAGAGGTTGACAAGGATCCCAACAGAACTGCCATCCAAACTACTGGGAAATTCCAAGGGCTCTTTGAAAACCAGTGGAATCTATTAGACATTTGAGGAAGGCCATTCAAATTGGCCCTATCTCTCTATAGAGGTTGGTGGACCTGGTTAACCCCATGATTACCAGGTATTGATCTGTCCATGACAAGGCAGTCCTTTTTAATCCCCCCACTACCTGTTCATGTCTCAACTGCTCCAAGGCATAAACTAGGTCTAATGTGTGTCCCCCACCTAAGGGAGAGGGTCTCAGCCAAGAAGAGACTAAATGATAGGAAGAATGTTGTGCTGATGCTGGGTCAAGAGTTACATTTCTGAGGTTCTTCATTACTATTGTAAAGCACATACATCCCAATCTCTCCAATCCACATTTAAAAAGCTCTATCATAAAGAAATATTGAGAGAAATGCCATCTCTGTGTGTATATTTATGTGCATAACATTAGTTGCAGAGAGTTGCTCTCAACCTAAGTGAATGAGGAGACCCATCATGATTACCAAAACTGATTTATATCTTCATACCAGAGGCCTTCAGTTCTTTCAAAAGTGGCAAAATGTTGCTTCCTCTTTGTTTAGTCTTACCTGCTGCTGTTCTTTATCATCTGTTTTGACGGCAAGTATCAAGCTTCTTGTGAAAGCCTGAAGTTCAAAATATTTCTGTTTTTGATGCTCCAGTTCACTTTCAACAAACCTTACTTCCTCATTCTAGAGGGAGAAAAAAAGTTCCATATAACTCTCAAAATAATGCTTCATTCTGTAAGTGAACTAAATTGTTCTCAAATGCATCTCTTTTTTTTTTTCTGTTTAAAGAGGAGCTATATTTGCAGATATGTGGTGCAAACTGAATCAAGTTTTACGCTTGGAAAAAATATTAAAATAAAAATGGACAATTTGCTTACTGACAATTCTGAGATATAAAACCTGTAGTTCTATTTATAATAAATTTATAAATCTTTTACAAAAATATTCTCAAAATGAGAAATGGCAAATAAAAAAAATTAAAGCCAAGGAGCATGATCAAATTAAACACTAAAATCCACAAGCAAAATTTGGTATGTGCAACTATATCCTTTAAAAAAACAACACCACAGCTGTTAAATTGAAATAATTTAGCAAACCCCTGCATCTCAGGTCATGCCTTGAGCATCTAATTATTGCAATCTGTAAAAAGATTGTTTAACCAGACTTAACAAGAGCAGAACAGGGACAATAAATGATTCATGGGGCTGGATTAGATGTTTATAACTCTCGTATTCCATCAGGCTATATAAGATGATGAGTGAGCCTCTCTTACCCCCCCTTTTTAAAAAAAATTTGTGTGGGTATATTTAGGAATAATAAGATGTTGGACTTCCGGTGATGATTCATGGTGAACTAGATGTCCCTGACAGAGTGGGGACGGCGCTGTGGTGGAGATCGGCGACCAGACGGTGAATTCTGGCCTCTGAGGTCTCTCCAGAAAAAGGAGAGATTGTGAGATCACCCACTTGTGCTCCTGACAGCTGCTCCTCATGAGTAGACTGCAGGAACCATGTTTTTTTGTGGTTGACTTGTGAGTCGAGTGGCTGGGAGTCGAGGGATTCCAACTAAGCTCAGAGCCATATGGACACGGTTTGCAAGACCTAATTTGCAAACCAAGGTTTGCAAGACCTAATTTCTTAATAACTTTTGGAATTACTTCTTAATTGCGTTTTAATTATCAGGAACCTTCAGAACCAAAAGAAACTGGCTGATGTCTTAATAATTAAAAGGGATA